CTCACTATAATAATAACTAATAAGTGGGAATCTAATTAATAAAGTTAAAATTGACATTAAATCAATGTTCAAAAATAATATACCCACTTATGTAGTTATTAATATAGTGAGCCGATATCAAGTAGCCTCCTATGAAATACCTCTATTAAAATGATCCTATTATTATTGGGGAAATAAAGACAAAATATTGTTATATTTTTATAGATTATTTATTTTATTTCTACATAACTTAATTTTAAATTTATGCAAGTACATATACATCAATGACTTTCAAGATATCAGCTCAATATTTATAATATATTATATATTTTTGAAAATTACATTTACGGTAATAAATAGTATGGCGCGGTCACAAAATAATGCATACCCTGTAATTAAAACCAAACCACAAAATTTTTTCAGTCACATGCAAACTAGCAACTCGCAATTTGTAGTTATTTCCAGGTTTAAACACTCTGAAGATATTCTCTTACTTACAACATAGGTAAACACATTTTTCATTCAAAAATATTTTTTACATATACACATTTGGACCCACCTACTAATTTCAGACACATCAGTTTATGGCTCTATAATTCCAGTGATTGACACACATTTTCTAAACATCACTGACCGTCTCTCAGGATGGGGAAAGCCGTGTACATATACACCTACAACAAACAGAATGTGATTTCCTGTCGAGTATAGGAACTGATATGTAAAATGTATTAGAATTAGGGCACCATTCAACATGATTTTACCGGAAAGTATAAATCACAATGGTGCTAAATAAAAACTACACCAAAATACGAAAATATTTAAATGTTTAAATGAGTCTGACGTATGGGAATAATATGAAAATTTTTATTGAATTGCAACTTACCATAAGCAGTCCCATCTAAAACACAGTTGCATACAGCGTCGTTTTTCATGAAAACACATTTTAATTAAAAACAAAATGAATGAAACAATATTTAACTAAGAATACAAGAACAGAAATAGAAATACGAAAAAATGTAGCGGTTTGATGACACATGAATGTCTCGATGACACAAATGATGTTCTTCTTAGCCATGCGATGAAATGATGTTTACCAAGATTTAAAAGGTGGCGCCACTTTCCATACAAAGTGTATGGAAAGTGTATGGAAAGTGGCGCCATCTTTTAAATCTTGGTAAACATCATTTCATCTC